ATTCACTTACGTCGTGTAGATCATGGCATCGAAACGTAGAAGAACTGTAATGACTGGAGCGGAGCGAGTGAAATGCATCCGTTTGAGCAAGGCTGGACACAAAGTTAAAAGCATCCAGCAGACACTTGGAGTCGGAAAGACGCAAAACTACGAAACTTTAAAAAACAAGGCATCGATTCAACTCCTGATGACAAGCCACCATCCAGCGAGGAAGCAATGCAAATGGCAACAAATCCATCAGTATGCACAAGAATTACCAGACATCGGTGATCAACGGGACAGTTACTTGCAACTAGCAACAAAACTGTATGACACGCAGGCAAACATTGTCATAAACCAAAGAATGCATCCAACCAAACAATCCAAAATAGACACACTTTTTTTCCCAAGACAGAAAAAAATAAACATTAAAATACTGTACGTATTTTACTGTTGTGTTTTTTTTTGGATACACCTGTATTGCAGTTTTTGTTATATAAAGTTTTTGGACAGTACATTTTTGTATTTTATTGATTGTGTTGTTACACGTGCATTTTTGTCAACATACTTGCAGGTTCATAAAGGACATGTACCATACAATACAATACAATACATGCTGATTTATATAGCGCTTTCACAACAGCGGCAGCTGTAACAAAGCGCTTAACAAAACAGTTACCATGCTCATTTCCCAAATGAGGAATTTCTGTTATCAGGACAAATTGGACAGCGCAAACACGAGTCCGCACTAGAGAATATTTACTGTATTCATTGATTTCAGAACTTTTGATTTCAGAATTTTTTTTCTACTAAAACATCACAGCCTCATGCCGCTTCATCCCTGCATGTTGAACACTATTCTTTTTCTGAAGTACAAAAAGACCTTGTAAATATTTGAAAGTCGGGCCGCTTGCATTTTCAATTCTGCTCCCTCCACACCTTTGTTTCCTTGTATCTACAGACTTTGAAACCTTGAATTACCCTTTTATCTCTTGATCATATTTAGTTTAGCTTATGTTATTTTCACAAGTCTTAGAAGTTACTGGCATCACAAGGATTGTATTCCACGCTTGCTACGCTAACGACATGGAGAACTATTTTCACAACGTCGGTAGCTTGTAAACCAGGGGTGTCAAACTCATATTTGTCGCGGGACTCTTTGTACTTTCGGCTTTCCTCAGAGGGCCACGAAGACTTTTAAACAAATGTTAAATCAAAGTTACTGTTAAAAAAAAAAAAAAAGATAATGAATTCTCATTAACAGAAAATCTCAACATTCTTACTCATTACACCTGACAATTCGGGTTCGGATTTTAGCAAGGATCATGGCAGTTGAAACATGATTTGCTTCCACGGGCCACATAACATGATGTAGCAGGCCGTATCTGGCCCCCGGAACTTCAGTTTGACACACCCGTGTTACAAAGGCACCGCGCTGTTCTGCATATTAATCGTTTTTCTTCAACTATAACGTTTTATAGATTGAGAGAAGCCAATATTTCAATCATGATTACATTTTGATGAATCGTACCACCCTAGCGTCTATTCTACACATATTTTTGGTATCGGGGCCCCTATACCCATCCCCACCAACCACCCCATGAATAGCAGGGGCAACTGTAGACATACATTTTCATAAAAATAATACCTTGGTTCTAACTGCTGGAGCTTGGTCTCCTCTGAGCTGATGTCCATCTCCTGAACCTTCAGAGAAATGCTCACCACCCCTATGAAAATAGAAACATACATGTCAGAAGCAGCAGATGGGACATGCCATTTCTAAAATTTCAAGGAGCTATTTAGACGAGAAACGAAACCAGAGTCCAAACCTCGCCTTTTTTCCTTTCAGTGATTATGAGGAAGTGTCCTGCCTGAAATATTAAAACATTTAGGATGTTATTCTCCAGAAAACATTTACACTACATATGCTCTTCTGCTTGGAACCATAAATGCATAATTATTAGGTGTAGTTACTTCTTTATTTTAAGGATACGCTTTTTTTATTTCAAAGGAAAGGGATAATGTTGGCAAATATTTACAGATTTTTTTTCTGTCACATGCTATGGTGAAAAGGCGTACGTTTTGACAACTTTTTGGGTGAGAGACAGGAGAACAAGCGTGTAACAAATCTATGAATGTGTGCATGCAGGAAAAATTATGAGTCATACCGTTCAGAATGACAGGAAGTGCTAGCACATTCGTTTGCAGTGGCAGGTCATCGTCGTACTTCTGGTTGAGGTGGGAGATGCTGGAAGTAGGGCTGCAGCAGCTGCCAATCTCGAGGCAAGTGGGTGCTGCGACAGCTGCCGATTTGAGGCAATTTAAGCAGCACCTTCAGCTGCAGCGGTAAAAAGTGCTGCCGCTTCAGCGTGTGGCCGTATTTCTTCGACATTATGTTTGTCAAACATAATAGTATCTATCTATCTATATATATATAGATCTATATATCTATAGATCTATATATATATAGATATATATATAGATATATATCTATATATATATCTATATATATATGGTTCTTTTGCACTGGAACTTCTGGCTAAACTCATGGACCATGTTATTTGCTAAGAATGTCTGTGTAGGGGTATATCTTGTAAATACTAGGGGTGTTCACACGGCACACATTTGCATCGGTGCTGCACCGATATATTTTGTTGCGATATATCTTACACCGGTGTAAATTTTGTGGAGCGTTCACACGTAAACAGCTGCTTACTAAAGAGAATTTTTAAAGGGGAAGTCAACCCACAAATTTTCTTTGCACAAATATGTTCCACGCCACCCTACTAGTCTAAACATGGCAATCTGATAAATATTGGCTCCACTCTCGAAAACAGGTGAGCTGTGCTTCATTATTACCTGAGCATCTGTGATGTCATTTTCAGTTGACAGAAAGTGACACAAGGGCCACCCGAAGAGATGGACAAAAAACAGGTATTTGTTGCTTAACTCATATTCCACAAACACAGTATTAATTCAGAATGCCGTGTTTCGACTAGTGGAAGCGCATAGAATATATTACTGTCGAGAAAATGTTGCGGTTGACTTCCCCTTGAAAGTAACATTTACATACATTCAACAAAGATTGTTGGAGGACGTCTTTGCAATCCAGTGGTTGGAAATCACCGCTCCAGTGCTACCAACACCCTGCGATTGACTGGCCAACAGGTATACCAATCCGAGCTCTCCTGATGTCTATTATAACAGAAGGATACTCGGGAAAATGATCTCTTAATTTTACTTACACCAAACTGTAGGCTTTGAAAACTGTTCAATTGTTTGCTACGGTTAGGTCAACGATGAAAGTCACTTGTATTCTTTTGGCATTTGACTCAGCATGACTCAGCTTTGATCTTAGTTTTACTGTTTGGTGCTTTCTACCATCTTTGTGACTGAATTATTGCTTTATTGTTGTATATATCTTAGTTGTTCCATGTACAGCCCTTTGTATGTAGCGATGGCTGTTTGAAAGTGCTCTATAAATACAATTGAGTTGAGTTGAGAAGCGTGTTAACCCCGGTGCAGCCCCACTTGCGTTCACACGGCAGTTTCTGCGGCCGTGCAATACGGTAGTAGTAATACGGAAATAAAACATGCGCATGCATAAAATGTACTTCGTTTTCCCCACCTTGTTTGTGACATATCGAAAAACCATGGTTTATACCTTTCCGGACAAATCAACGCCATGGTCTATCAGACACCGTAAAAGGATGAGAGAAAGGAAAGATGACGGAAGTACAACAGAGCACGAAAGCAACGCATTCAATACCCGTATGTAATCAACTCTTCTCACACGTCGTCGCGAGTCTACGCCTGTAGTATTCACACGTCCAATTTTATAACGGTGCTGCCCCGCAAACTAGCATTTACTCCAGAGTAAATTTTTAAACCACCTCCTGAGCAGGGTTAAATTTGCTCTGGTTTAAGTTGTTTTCAGAGGCTACACCGGTATAACTTTGTACGTGTGAACGCTTTACGGGGGCAGCCTCGATGCTACACCGGAGTAAAAGTTGCTTTGTGAACACCCCTACTGTTACGCAACACTGGGGTGGCGGGTCAAAACTACTCGCGCACAGATACGTTTTCAGAAATACTGTTGTAGAACTTAAGATTCTTTTGGTTGTTTCACTTTGACGGGTGGGCAGACACTTCAGAGACCCACCTATCAGTTATAAACAGTCAATTTTCCATAACATATCACCCCCAAAAATAAATAAATAAAAATCATTTAAAAAGTTTGGCTGATTGCTTGAATGTTTTTGTATATGTTACATATATGATACACGGCCAAACTGTAATGTACGGTACTTACGATCAAGGTAGGCTTCTTCTTGTTCCTCATGCTCTTCATCCTCACTGCCTCCGTCACCCAGAAGGATCTCCCTTTGTTTTGACACTGCCTTGGAGGCCGCCTGACGTACTGTTCGCTTTCGGCTGAGTTCCTTGTCGTCATCACTGCAATCTGCAAAAATTACACAAAAAAATGATTGGAAAGGCTCTACACTAACTTTGTTGCACCACACAGGATTTGATCACACTCTTTTTTGGCGGGGGGTACAGAATGACCATATTTGCTGATGCCATCTCATTTGATATACTGTACTTTCGTATGATGCAGAGATTGACAGGATATATATATAAATATTTTGCTGTAGTGTGAACTTTGCAACAAAGAGCGGCTAACAAAACAGGTCAATTATTTTAGATAACTTTAAAAAGAAGAAAACCTTGAATTAATTTTACTTGTATTAGTTCAACAAAATACGATGAGGATAAAGTTGGGAATGTTTTTGATCACGTTAAACAATACAGTTTGTACATTTGTAAACACTATAACAATGGACTGGGTCATGAGCACCTCAGTGAATGGGGGTGAGCTGAATGGGACCCTCATGAGGAAAAAGCGGATTAGAAAATCGATGGATGGAAGGATTGATGGACTGGCGCGGTTAAAGTGACGGACTGACATTATACAGTCAAACCTCGGTGTTCGACCATAATCCGTTCCAGAAAGCTGTTCAAAAACCGAATTGTTCGAAAACCGAAACCATGTTTCCCATTAGAATCAATGTAAAACATTTTAATCCGTTCCAAGTCTAGAAAACAACTTTTTTAAAAGGATTTTTTCCAACTATTTTACACCATAAACTGTATACACGTATAATAAGAGAGCAAGTAACAACAAACTACAAACATTTTGTATGTTTTATTTTTACTAATTTTAACAAACATTGACATTGTAACATAAAAATTGAACATCTCTCTCTCTCTCATCGTGACAATTGTAGATTGCATTCTTTTTCACCTTGAATTTATAAACCCTAAAGTAATGGCTGCAACTATGGACACTGTCTGCAATCCTACGCAACGGTACGAGGTAACATCAGTCCATCCATTTTCTGAACTGCTTTGTCCACCCAAGTCCAGTCTCGTCCATATTAAAAGTCTGCTGGGGAAGACATTCCTCGGCCTTGATGAGATTTTCAAACTCAACTTTAAACTTTTCGGCAGCTTCCTTGTCTGAATTGGCTGCCTCCCCATGACGAATCACTTCTTTTCCTCAACTTTTCGAACCATCCTCTGCTTACTTTAAAATCAAACTCCTCAGGAGCAATGCTAGGACTAGGATCCTTTTTTAATCAAATCTCCATACAATTGTCTTGTTTTGCCACAAATCGTATCTTGGCTAAGACTGTCCCCTGCTAGCTGTTTCTCATTTATGAAAATAAGCAAATGTTTCTCCACTTCCTCTAATATTTGTGGCCTTTGTTCATTAAACACATGAGATCCTTTAGCCACATCACTGACTTTATGATGGTCTTTCTTTTTTAGGATGCTGCTGATTTCAGCATGCCGAACTCCTTAGCCAACACAAACACATGCACACCTGATTCATATTTCACGATCAAATCTTCCTCAAATTCAATAGTTTTGCGCACTATTTTCCTCTTTTTTCAGCAGCTTTACTACTTCCACTTGCTTTCTTTGGTGCCATGCAGAAATAACAGTCCAATTTGCGTCGATCTCAACAAACACGTCTGCTTTTTTAAAAATCTTTATTGAACACGTCTCCTCACAATGGACACACAATGGACGCTCTTTTTTTTTTAAATCTTTGAACACGTCTGCTCACAATGGACACTTTCTTTTTTAAAAAAAAATCTTTATTGAACACGTCTGCTCACAACGAAGGCGTCACTTCTTCATCAACCCGAGGAAGCGGGTTGATGAAGAAAACGGGAAGCAGCACTTCCTCGTGTAAGGAAATCGAGTGCCGCATTCAAGTGCGCTCAGTATGGTCGAGAACCAAATTTCGGTTATAATCCAAGGTATAAAAAAACTCGAAATTTTTGGTCGAAAACCAATTTGGTGGAGAACAGAGACGTTCGAAAACTGAGGTTTGACTGTACATGATGATGACGGACAGGCGGCCCAGCCACTGGCAAAGGACAAATGATGGAGCGCCAATGTTTACTCCTCTGTATATTATTACAGATGATTGTAATATTTATTTAAAAATATACTAAGAATTCTTTAAATATACCATGATGTACCTTGCATAACTGCGTGAACCAATATTGCACAATTAGTGTACATTTTCCATTCTTAGGCCCCTATCCCAATAAGCAGTGGACAAATGTGAGTGATTTCAAAGGCAGCGAATATTGTGTTCATCAGGGTTCGCTCAAGGTCGCAAATGTGCACCTGTACTTTGTCACAAGGAAATTTTAAACCTACTCAAAATTTCTTTGCGACAAGGGGAAAAAAAAAAAACCCAAAAAACAATTGGCGAGCGAATATTCGGCAAACAGTTGCGACCTTCAACGAACCCTGACGTGGACATGGATTTTTCTGCCCCCTCAATGGGATACTCTCCTCTCATAACATGCGCTGAATGATATCAGCCAGGGATGGAGTTCGGTCAGCTGCTAAAGTAAAAAATAAATAAATAAAATACCACTTTGTGGAGATGGGGTAAAAGATGAGGAGACAAATGCGAGTCATGTCTCCTTCACTCTCTAGACAAAACATATTGTTTACAGGGTGTCAGGGTTGTTCACTCGGACAGTTGAACAAACAGACTCAGGAAGAGATCGTCTTTTCTGCCGGCAGGAGATGCAGTTTTCTACGAAGCCACTCCATGTGCGCTTCCCACTGACACCTGACCCCTGCAACCTCTGCCGGCCTTTTTATTGATTGTGTATGCAAATTACAAGGGATATACCAGAAAAACACTCTCTTCTTCACGTCACACTTCTCAACCCAGCCCACCGATACGGCCCTCAGAGGCCAAAACATCTCTCGGTACAAACAATGGATACCTTGTTACTTCAATGGGTAGATTTCACATGAACTGAGACACTGTAACAAACCGAAGACATCTTATCATGTTGCCCTCCCGAAGTTGAACCTTCCTGCCGACGTTATCAGTTAATGAGGACTTGGCTTTACTCAGCTCAAGTTGCCCTTCTTCCTGTGTGCTCCACTGTGTATTGCTGTGAAAACATACCGCTCGATGTCGAGCATATACTGAAATGAAAATTTAAAACATGATATTAAGTTCGTCTTTCTCCATCACAGGGTAAGTAAAAGTGCAGGGTCAGGGGGAGTGTCTCACCCTTGTGAGTCACCACACAGGTACCCCCAGAATTCACCATAACAAAGTGCACAATCAAACGGGCAATAACGAACAATGCCAAGAACAGTCAATGCGGTGGAGTGCGGCACAAGTGGCCAAAACGGAGGAAGGGTCAGGGGTCAGGGCTTATTTCGGAGACTACAGAGGGCGGGCGCCACCGCCGTGGTGGTTGGGACAACTGCAGTTGTGCAACGACATCCACATGAGCAGGCTTAAGTCCATCTCTCTTGACCCGATCGGACTTACCTCCAATGTCCAAAAGCTCTGAGCCCCTGCCTCGACCACCCGGAAGGATCCCTCATAGCGGGGCTGTAGCAGGGTTCAATGGCAGATTATGGCATATTTGACTGAAGGTTGGACCGCTGGCACATAAAACAGAAAGGGGACAAAAATGGCGGCAACCCCCTGGAACACATCCCAGTGAGAGGTTGTATACCAGGGGGCTACGGCATCTGGGAGGAGCTCCCGTGAGATATGCAGTGGCTGACCATAAACCATGTAAACCTGCTGTCCAGAACTCTGATGTGAACTGTGGGACCCGATCAGAGGTGAGGTCAGGTGGCAACAAGCAGACATTGCTGTTGACAAGACCACGGTTCCGAGGATTGGACCATGGCAATTGTGTTTGGTTTGTAGTCCATTTAAACAGTGAACAAACAGGAATTGGAAGTGTCAGGTGGCGAGGAAAAGGCCGAGGGTGGCATGGCGTAGTGGTCGTTTCCCAACCCGGAGGTGGTTCGATCCCTGGCCATTGCAACCATGTAGAAGTGTCCTTGAGCAAGATACTGACCCCCCGTTGCTCCTGATGCTGCATCATCAGAAGGTAAATGTGGTAAACAGAGTAAAGCGCTTTGAGTACCCCAGATAGAAAAGTAGAGATGTAACAGCCCATTTACCATCTAGGACCTCCAGCACGTCTGTCGTGAGGACGACTAGAATAGAGGGTGACGGGTGCACCAGCAGAGCTGCGTTGGCCAACGCAGCCTTGTCGGACTTGAAAGCTTGTCCATCCATGGGGAACAGTCCACTTAATCCTTGGACCCTTTTCCCCACAGGCCTTCATACAAGGAAGAGGGCCGACTCCCTGTGGCGTGACATGGTGCCTGAGGAAGGTAAATGCTTGTAAAAGCGAAGTGGCATTTGGCTGCATTGATGATGAAGCCATGCTCGTTGACTCGTCTGTAGAGCACGTGGGGGTCAGGCGTTCCTCTGCATCTGTGCTGGGCACCAGGATTTCATCCAAGTTGACAAAGAAGAAAGGTCTGTCACGCAGTACAGAAGTAATTCCATAGGGTGCTGAACCATCTACACTGCCCCTCCCTTTGAGGCCAATAGGCATCCGCAAGAATTCAAAAAGGATGAAGGGTGTGATGAGAGGCATCTTGGGCACAACCTGCCGGTGTACTGGTATCAGTAGTAATGGGGTGCTCCATGCTGTGCTTAGCCACAGCTGTCGAGAGTGTGGGCTTAGTGAGGTCAGGTAACTCGACAAGCAGGCGTTGATATGGATCCCGAGCAAGCCGTTCTGATGCCTGATAGGAGCTTCCATGTGGTGCTGAGACAGGTTATAGGCCGGTAGTTCGATAGAGGAGTTAGCATCTTTAGCCAGTCGGCATGAATGTCGACCTTGGTGCTGTCCATCTTTTCATCTTAAACCCTCTTGTTTGGATTTCTGCCACTGCTCGTTCTTGTTCTGGGAGGTTGCTGTCAATCAATCACTTTATTTATTCCCAGAGGACAATAACAAGGTGTGGCGGGTAACAGAGCTCCAGTCACAAATAATGCATAAAGCACATTAATTCCAACATAGCATGATTGACGCA